CACCCTGGACAGGTCTCCAGTCCATCACAGGGACACATAGAGGCAAACAACCATTCACTCTCTCACTCACACCTAGGGACAATTTAGTTATCAGTCAGCCTAGCATTCATGTTTTTGGTCTGGGGAGGAAACCAGGGTTCACCGAGAATACCCACACATGCACGGAGAGAACATACAAACTCAACCCAGAGAGGCCCCTGGCTGGGATTTGATCCTGCAACCTTCTCGCTGAGAGACAGCAGCTCTACCAAGTGTGCCTGTTTGCTAATCCCTTTCTTTTTATTTTGATATTTAAAAAAGACTGATAAAGTTAAATAGTCTCTGCTTCTCATTTAATTTGAAAAAACATTAACCTAAATGATTCACAATTATTTACAGAACAATTCAATTTTAAATCAATACGTGTGTGTATTTTCATAAAACACAACACTTTTAGAGCTGCATTTTAAACACAAAGGCAAGTTCCTGCTGTGACACTGAAACAGACTTGATTGTGTGACGCAGCACACAGCTCAAAGGGAATAATAGAGGGTGCTTTTTATGCTTCCACCCTGAGTTGGTATGTTTTTATATCTTCTTCTAATCCAGACTAATGGTCACCGCAGGCAGATAGCAGTCTGTCGACGTGCAGGCAGGATTCTTCATATCCTGCAGACTACACCAAACCTATGTCTAAATCTTCTCTCCTGCCATGTATAATGTGTCAGCGAATGAATCTGATGAGCAGATTGCTCTGCTGAGTAACAGCATGGCAGATGCTTTGAGTGTCTCAGTGCTGAGTGACAGCAAACTGTCAGAGCTTTTTGTGTGGCTCTGCTAGGGTTTTTCATCTAAGATGCTGCCAGAAAGGGAGGTACACCCACCAATGCAGCAGCAGCTGAGTGAAAAAAGCACCTAAGATGCATATTTCACGTGTGAAATCTGATCCAAGCAGTCAAGAAAACTAGAAAATTTGAATTTTCTGTGACAATGCGGCGTGAATTCTGAGTGCTGAGTGAATTTGCTGAAACTTGCTAAAGAAGCTGAAATTGAATTGTTAATAATAATAATAATAATAATAATAATAATAGTAATGTGTTATGTGTTGTCATCATTGTATGTTCCCATACATTGAGGAAATTGGCTCTCTGCATTTAATCCATCCACCACCAGGTGGAGCAGTGGGCAGCTATTGAAAGTGCCCGGGGAGCAATTAGGGATAGGGTGTGCTGCTCAGAGACACCACGAGATGTGCAATGACTGGGGATCAAACCTGGGACTATTGGGTTCTGAGTCGGCTGCCCTGCCTCTACCCAAAGCACTAGATAAATGCTTAAAGTAACAAAAGGTTAGCTGAAGATAGCAAAATGGTAACTAGAAGCTATAAGTGTCAAAATGCTAAGTAAATGTACCTAATCTATCTAAATGTAGCAAAATGCTACTTAAATGTTGCAAAACACTAGCCAGAAATAGCTAAATACTACCTAAATGTATCCAAAAACTAGCTAGAAGCTAAAAGTAGTTAAAGGAAAAAATCATAAAATGGGAGCTTAAGGCAAAAAATAGCATAATGTTAAAAGTTGCAATTTTCTAGCTAAAAGCAGTAAAATACTTCTAAAGTTAAAATAACAAAAGACTGTCTTCAGGTAAAAATAGAGAATGGTAGCTAAAAGAGAATAAAAAGACAAAAACAGAGCAAGTATCTTGAAGCAGTTTTTGAAAAGAGCAATGTTTTTTGGGAAAAGAGCTCAACGTACTTATATGAAAAAAAATATTAATGAAGTTAAATATTTCAAAAGTATGATCAAAACTACCTGACAGACAGACCACAGTTTGTGAGACTGAAGGGTTGTGTGTCTAACCAGGTGGTCAGTAGCTCAGGAGCACCACAAGGTACTGTACTCTCACCATTCCTTTTCACTCTGTACACCTCAGATTTCCAGTACAAAACAGACTCCTGTCACCTGTGTAATGAGAGATAATATGCGTCTGATATTATCCTTTATTTAAACGGATTCTTTAATTTTTCTGGACTGAGTAATATCGTGTTTTGAATATTAAATGTGGACGGAAACGTGTTTAAATTTCTGGCTCACCAACAACAGTGAGCCGTTTAATTAAAAACGATTTAAAACACATCACACATTTACATTAATTGGCAGATTGATTACAATTAACACAGCTTGATTAATGAGCTTTACAATGAGAAATCATACGGCCATGATATCTCACTTGCAACTTAAAACAACAGACATTTCTGAAAATATCTGGATTAATTACTGGCAGATAGAAGAGTTTTAAAGATAGGAAAAATGAAGTTTAAATGGAGAAAAATGGATGAGGAAAAAGTGTCTGTATAACCAGAAACAACACGCTCCTTTGGACGCAGCTTAACCCACGGTACACTAGCAAGTGAAGATCGACTCTTTTACCTTTGCAGACGATAGTTTCGGCTTCGGTGTAGAGTTTTCTTTCAACTCTTTTCAGCGTCTCCGTAAGAACAGCTGTGACCTCAGGAGTCGTGAGATCATCACAGAACAGACTTCCTCATTGTTCAGAGCGTTCGTCGGGTAGAGCCACAGCGAGACGTCGTGGCATCGACGGACTCTCGACACTCCATTAGAAACTGCTCGGAACTTCTGTTCCTCTGAGCTTCTCTTGTTCAGGAACTTCTCGTTCGAGGTTCTCCCTGGAACTCTGGTTCTCTCTGGAACATTGTTCTCCTTTGGAACTCTTGTTCTGCTTGGAACTAGGAAGTGTCGACCCTTTTAAAGAGGTCACTTCCGTTTCCTCTGAGAACTTCCTGATTGGTTGAACGAACCAACCGGGGTGTGGTTTTAGTGACGTCAGAGGGTCATTACATGTCAAGGAGACAGAGTAGATGTTTTAAGAACAGACAGAAAGATGTTTTGAAGAAACAGAGACATTTAGGAGCCAGTCTTCCTTCTATCTGTCTGAGAGAGTTAAACATGACATTTCGTTCCGATAAACATGTTTTTGACCGTTCCTTGACTTTTGACCGACTCACTCCTTCTCATTTCAGACAGAAAATCAAAAATGCATCATTACTTTGTAACAGACATCTAACTTGATTTCTACTTTGAATGAGGATCAAAAATCATTAATACTGTTTCACAGTTGATTTAAAATGAGTGGTTCAACTTCAACATTTAAAATGGTTTGAACTAAACACACTTTTGATTATCAAGACATTTGTAAAATAGTAATGATAATATGAAAGAGAGTGCTCTTTCAATTGATTAGTGCAGGACACCCTTAGAAAGTCTCTGGATGAGCTTAATTTGTGTTTCTGGACTCAAATCAATGAAATAATAGTTCCTGTCCCAGGAAGGCCCTCAGGGTCAGGTTTTTGACCTGAGGCTTAGTTCACTACACCTGCAGAAATATTCAGATGACTCTGAAGTGGTCGGGTGTATCAGAGATGGACAAGAAGCTGAGTACAGGGAACTGGTGGACCGCTTTGTGGCATGGTGTGGAAACAATCATCTCATCTGGAATGTGAACAAAACAAAGGAGATGACTGTAGATTTCAGGAGAAACAGGAACAGGTCCAACACTATTTCCATCATGGGAGAAGAAGTGGAGGTGGTGGAGAAGTATAAATACCTTGGGGTTCACCTGGACAACAGACTGGACTGGAAATGCAACAGTGAAGCGTCTACAAGAAGGGACAGAGCAGACTGTACTTCTTGAGGAAGCTGAAGTCCTTCATCGTTTGCAGCAAGATGCTGCATATCTTCTATAAGTCTGTTGTAGAGAGTGCTATCTCTATGAAAGTTTCAAAACACTGAATTCATAGCTCCCATCTCCTGAATGAGCTGAATGTTTTTATACATGAATAAATAAAACAGCACAAACTATGCAGAAGTAGTTAAAATATGTACAGCAAAAGGGAAAACAAATGCTGAATCAATGGTCACACAATAAATAAATTTTAAAAAATCTGAATTCAAAAGAAAAAGTTAAAAAATGGCAGCTGTTTTGAGCAAACAGCTGGATGTGAGAGAAAATCAAAACGAGGAAACAACAAGAGGGACGCCACAGGCTGGCTGGCTGTTGCTTGTAGTTTCTACTTTCTGTCAAGCTGGTGCTGATCCCTCATCTTAAAGGTCACAATTATGTGCTCCCGTCCATTTCTCCTCCATCCCTTCCTGCTGCCACCCTCCTCCCCTCTGAGCAGCATTTAATTGTGAGGGGCTGAGCTGTGGGAAAGGAGTAATCAAATGAGAGCAGAGGTGGGGGGGAGTCACGTGGGTACACACTCACTATCTGGGGATTAATAATTCTGCCGACTTGATTGAACTTCAGATGTTTTCCCTGGTAAATTGGAGGTGGGGAGTGGAGGTGGGGGCAAAAACAGTGACACAGACAGAGGGGGAGGGACAGAAATGAGAGAGTTGCAAGGAAGATAAGGGCTTCTCAGATAAGAACAGAGAGGAGGCAGAGATAGGGAGAGAGAAACAGCAGTGAGAGAGAGAGAGAGTGGGAGGAAGAAAGAGTGAGGAAAGAAGGCAGCGCAGTGCAGTTCAGGAGGGGAGGGGGGAGAGAGAGAGAGAGGGAAGGAGAGAGAGGGAAGGAGAGAGAGGAAGCCTCTGCTGCTACTCTGTGCCAGTGAGATGCAGGCAGGCGGAGAGGGAGGATGGAGTGAAAGGGGTCCTTGGCATCTCCGAAACTGAACTCAGGGCGGGGGTGAGGGGGCTCGGGAGCAAAAAAACAACAGAGGGACCAGTGGGAAGAGAAGCTGAAATGTAGGGAGGGAGAAAGAGGCAGGGCGATGAAACCATAAACAGAAACAGGGGAGTGGGTGGGACCAAACTGAGGAGAGAGGGGAAAACAGGGAAAAAGTTTTTGCTGGAGAAACAAGAGGAGCAGCAGATAAAGCTTCTGTTAATGGCAAAGGTAGGAGGAGATTCATGGAAGAGGAGGAGGAAGCTGTCTGCGTCTCAGGAGTCCTCCGGCTCCTCTTCGTTTTCTGAGGCTGCTGGACGTCATCCATCAACATGTTCTCCAACAGACGCACCACAACACCTGAGGAGCAGAGGGGCTTCAAGACGCACACGCCTCACTTCATCCCATGGCTGCGCAACAGCCTGAAGGCTCAGCACAGCAGCGGTGACCTGGGCCTCAACGGGCCATGCAAATCCAGCTCGGAGGCCCGCAATACCTTGACCCCGCTGGAGAGAGCCAAAGGAATCGGGTTCTTCTCCATCCAGGGGAAGGAGCGGGCAAAGAAGGGGGAACTCAGATGTAATGGCATTGGGATGCTGCCAGTGGTGTTGAAGGGACACCACATCCTGCCAGGAAGTCTGGGGAAGCAGAAGGAGAGTTGTCCTGCCAGGTGGGGCAAGACTAAAGACCAGGAACCCAGCACACAGCTTGGCCCAGAGGAGGGTCAGTGGGACAGTTCTTCCACCACTTTGGACAACCACAACTTTGCAAAGAACCAAAGCAACAAACTGAGCCTCCGTCAGGTAAAGAACGACACAAACTCAGTCAGGAAGTACGGGCCTTTGGTGGGACCCCCTCCAACTCCAGTCCCTGTGGTGCTGGCTGAGAGGCCCAGCTGTGAGGTGCCTGTTGTGGTATGCATGGAAGACGGGGAAAGAAAGGTGTGGGACTACAGCAGCCACACCACCTACCGGCAGAGAGACCTCCATTCATCCAGCTGGCTGAGCTCAGACACTCAGGGGCTCATGGAGAGGCAGCATGGGTTCAGCTCCAGCTTCAGCTACGTCAACAAGCACGGCAGAAGCTCACAGAGTCAAAGGGATCTGAGGGAGGCCCCAGCGGAGGCCTTAAACGGGCCCCTGAATGGACTCATCTTCTCCACCGAGATCCCCCACAGAGGCCTGAGCTGTACCACATCTCTGAGAGGCCTGAGGAAATCCAGACCGATCTCGGAGCGCATCACAGTCCTGGGTCAGAACCAAACGTGGGTGCAGCACAGACCAAACGCTGAAGAGGGACCGCAGAGGAAGGAAGCAGGGTGTACGAGAAAAGTGGTCCGAAACCAGATCAAACGAGTGATGGACAACCTGGAGCAGGTCCTCACAGCTTTGAAGGACATCCAGCAGGAAATGAAAGAGGTAAACACAACAGATCTGGGCTGATTCGACAACAGCACATCAGACAATGTATCCATGTGAGCTGCAGAGTCTTCTCGTTTCTTTCCAGGAACTGAAATGTAAAAACAACAAAGCGGTTAAAACAGACAGATAGAAGAGAGCTTTCTGCATCCTCCCTCGTTAATTTAGACGAGTTTTCTTCTTGCAGAAAATGTTCAAGCTCTCAAATACATGGAGAGCTGTTACTTTTACAGATAACAAGCCCAACTACAAACACCCATCCTCAGTAGAATTAAACGTGCGCATACAAAGTCAGCAGCAGGGTAACATGAATCCAAAACTACCGGCTGTTTTTGTTTCCTCTAACCCTCTCTTGTTCTCAGACATGGAGACATCAACACTTTGTGCTCAAGTTGCTCGTGCATGGGCGTTTTCTTGGCGGTGGATGAGGGAATAGTTCTGCCCCATTTGCCTCGGTGCATTCAGAGGCTGTTTTATACGATGCTATGTGACATTAGGAAACCTAAAACCAAAACCTCCTCCTCAAGCATCCTCTCTCTTTTCCTCCCCTCTCCGCTCCTGTGGACAGCTGCTGCTCCAGGCACAGCTGGATAGCGTCCGACTCCTTTTTTTTTTATAATCCATTTAAGTCCAGATATTTCGGCCTCATATTCTGCCTCATGCAGTAAAAGTGACACGCAAATCTTGCCTCTCGGCGTCTGATCTAAATCTGCCAGTTCACAGCCGAACCCTCGGTAGTAACCTCATCATCTTGGCTGTAAGGTTTTTATGTGACACCATTAATATAACAGTGTTGAAAGTCCATATCAGCTACACCAAAAGAGGAGGAGGAAGGGCTAGAAACAGGGAAAGGAAGAGAAAACTGTAAATGTTCACAACAGATATGACAAATCTAAGGACAGTAGGATACAGGGCAAATATATTTCAGGATGTGCTGTTGCATGAGCTGCAATCACTGGTATGGAAAATAAATAAAGTGTGTGTGTGAGTGGGGCCTGTCAGGGCCTTACTATTTTTTTTTTACAGGAGGCTGTTCATATGCTGAAGCATTTAAAAAATATAACTGAGAACTTCAAGAGATGCAACAACTTGAAGAGTTAAATAACCGAGCTTAAAGACAAGCATTTTTCAGTTTGTGTAGCGAGTGCCCATGTGGACCTAAGGGGTAACAAAATAAAATAAAATCATTAATTCATTAATTCATTCATTCATTCATTCATTCATTCATTCATTCATTCATTCATTCATTCATTTAATAAAAAGCAGCAGATGAAAAGCAAAGTTCTCAGCTCTTTCATCTTGTCTGAATCCTGACATTAACAAGCAGTACCTGCCCAGAGTCGCTTGATGCACAGACGCATGCAGCGACACTTCAAAGTAATCTGAAATGCTCTGCTAACGAAAGAAAGGAAGAAAGAATGAATGAGCGAAAAGAAAGAAAGAATGAAAGAAAAAGAACGAATGAAAGAACGAAAGCAAGAAAACAAGAAAGAGAAAGAACGAAAAAAGAACGAAAAAAGAACAAAAGAGAAAGAACGAAAGAGAAAGAACAAAAGAAAGAAAGAATGAATGAAAGAATGCATGAAAGAAAGAACGAAAGAAAGAACAAAAGAAAAAGAATGAAAGAAAGAAAGAACAAAAACGAAAGGAAGAAATAACATAAGAAAGAAAGACAGAAAGAACGTAAGTAAGAAAGACAGAGAGAAACAGAGAGACAAATAAGGTCATCTTTTGACATCAGCAAGGATGTTGTTGAACAGAGGACAAAACTCATCCGGCATGGCAGAGGATTTATCTGTGCACACAGAGCAGGTGGCGAGCTGGGTCAAACATCTTCCCCAGCGTAATTTTCTCCAATCTCTCTGTCATCATACAGCTGTGTGTGTGTGTGTGTCTCTCTTTGTGTGTGTGTGTGTGTGTGTGTGTGTTAGGCTTTTACATGTGCATGGGTGCTAAGCTCATTCTCATGCACGCATGCTGCATTTGGACATGTAGGCCTTTTAAAAAGAAAATATACTATATGTTTTGGTGTTTTATTTTACCAACCAGTAAGATGCATTAGCTGGGAGGCATGTCTAAATTTAGCAAACGTATCTCTGTAACAATACTCTCATTCTGTCTTGGCTGAGCTAAACTCGTTTACGTTGTGAGAAATATTTCAAGGGGTGCGTAAAAGTCCTCTGGAATCATCACACTAACTTTTCACTCCCTAAGCTGCAGAGCTAAAATTAGTTTGAGCTGTTTTTAGATGTTTTGGTGGCAAAAACTCGATCTGCAAGAAACCTCCTGGTGGCTCAGGGATTTAAGTTGCTGACCGTGTGAAAGCAATGTACTGAGTCCAAAATCAGCTGAGGAGTTTCTGTGGAATATTTTCTTTATTTTATGGCTGTCTCAGAGGAGTCAACAAGGGAGAGGACAGGCCCCAGAAACCATCTTATCACCAGCAAACTGGTTGACCCACTATGTGAGTGTGCTGCTTATGAGACTCAGCTTGTTGTGGCTCCTCGGACTGATGAAGTCCTTTGGATGAAGGACGAAACGTCTTACAAAAAAAAAAAAAGAAACCATCCAGATGACCTGAATGAACTTTGTTGGATTTTCTACTTTGATTATTGAGCATGTATATAAATAAGGTTTTAGTGACAACACTGGGTGACTTAAAAAGCCAACCAGGTTTCATTACAAGCTGGAGCGGACGATAATGATTTTGTGTGTGTCTGTTATCAAAATTTCTAATAAACCACTGAACAGTTTTAGTAAAGCTTTCATGGAGGGATCATTAGATTCACAGTTGAAATACTTTTAAAATCAACTCAATTTAAAATAGTACCCACAACCAATTGATCTTAAAAACACAAAAATCACTGTAAATTTACAGATTTTGAGCTGGATTTAAGTTTGATAGTAGCAGAGAGTCATCCCAAACACAAACTCTGAGCATGAGAAGTTGCAGAATCACGAGATCGTGGGTAACTTTACTTTCAAGGTTGGATCAAAATGGCTACAACTCCATTATTTCTGAAGATAAGACAGTTTTAGTTTAAAACAGTGGCACGAAACGGGTGATATGCATTGCTTTAATTATTGTAAAGCTAATTATTGACTAAAATATGAATCAAAACACAAAGTCCCTATTGAATAGAGGTTGTGATGTATTTAGTTTATAACATCGTGCATTAAATTCATCCCATCTGACAACAAAACTGATGATAAACTGCCTCTAAGCTCAGAGACCCTCATGACGTCACTTTGCCATCGTTTGCTTTCAGCTGCTCAGCGGAGCTCCTAAAAGGAGGAAGATTGATTGTTGTGTGTAAAAACCAGTGATCTGCTGTGAGTCATCACGCTGAAGAAAGACGAACTTTCACTTGGGCAGAATGAACCAAGCGGCTGCAGAAGGCCCAGATTTATTGCACTAATTTTTCTCAACATCAATCAATACACTTTCCAGATTTTTGTACCTGAAACTTTTAACAGCTCCTCCATCTGCGTTTTAAGGCATAAAACATTACAATAAGATAAAGCTGCCATTAGATTAAAAGCAACATGCTAATTATCTAAAATACTCAAACTTCCTCAGTTTTTTGACCTCATGGCTCCACTACCCTCATTAGATGAAATGGAAAAAATAAATAAAAATCATGTTTAAGACAGTGTGGTCAGACTGTCAGTTCTTACAAACAAATGTTTATCTAATTTCAAAAGTTTATTTTAAACAAATTGTTTTGAACAGATATATTTTTCCTTCCACATATTTAGAGTCAAAGTGATGCCATATTGAACATTTCTTGGCATTTGTTCCTTAGTCCTCCCACTTGAGTGTTCAAATGACCTAAAGTGGATTAGGTACCTTGATTATAAATCTTCTCTGTCATATTTGCTAATGTTGTCTCTTCACTGTCACAGAATCATAAATACATCTGTAAACACATCAGATTTTTCTTTCTCTACTGCAATCTGTGTTTCAGTAAAAAGGACCAGTCATGGCCTGGTGTCATCCAGCGCTTGCTTTTTAGTTACCGTGGTTACGAACATGCTATGAGTCCTCTGCAACAAAGACAGATTATGTTATAGACCAAGTATCCCTGCCTTCTCTCATTGTTGGTATCTGATGCAATCATGACCCATTACAAGAGGCGCCATGTTGTATTTTTGTAACCAGGGTCTGTGCACTACTGATGTAGGGCTTTAAGCTCCGCCTACTTCCCCTCCCACAATTATGTTGTCACATGAGCTTTCTTTTAAGCATGACGTACAGCTAAATGCATGAGAAAAACATCTGAGCATGCAGCACTGTGAGATATTTGTGAATCAACAAGAGTCAACATCTGAAAATAATCATAGAAAGGTTTGTTTCCAAGGAAACGGTTTTGTTTGGCAGGGCTTACGATTTGAATTGCCGACAGGGATGCTGCTCTTATTCCAGCTTCAACTTCCGGGATTTGGTCAGAGGTCTAGATACAAACAGCCTATCTTTTGCATTAAGGAGATGAAACACACAGGAAGTTCCTTTTAAAGTAATCAGTTCAGCGCATGTTGGTTTCTGCAGCTGAAAATGGGAAAGTGATGAGTGCAAAGAGGAGCAGTTCAAGTAAAAACAAAGATTTGAGCGAATGTTCTTAGTTTTGAAGGAGTGTGATTTCATTAAAAAGTGAATGTGTTGCACAGCTGTTAGCATTTTTTTTTTTAATTTATTTACCCTTTATTTATACTGGTAGTCTCATTGAGCCACAAGAACTCATTTTCAAGAGAGACCTGTTTAGGGAGCAGATGGTGGGGGTTAAGGGCCTTGCTCGGGGGCCCAGAGTGGGGCAAATGAGGGTAGAGGGAGGTGTGGGTGTTCCACCTTTTCCACTCACATTTTGATGTTGACGGTACCGGGAGTTGAACCTGCGACTTTCCGATCACAAGCCCATTTTATAATCTCTGCGCCACCACTCCCCCATACTTACCACTTCATGTGGGAACTTGATTTGACTTTGTCAAGAATTTTAAGGAGATACTTTAATGAGAACAATTCTGTTGTCAATGCGTTTTTTTCTATGTGTTTTCTAGGTGGTACAGCAGATTGATTATCTAACCTCCTCTATTGATCTGGATGAGGAGGAGCAGCAAACTGGAGGAGACGCTAAGCCTCCAAGTGACAGGAGCTACAGTTCAGGTTCTAGCTCTGCCGATGTAACAACGGGTAGGACCCATCGGAGGCCTCCAGAAGCTGAAAACCAGCCAGGACCCATGGAGCCGTGTGGCTTCAGCAGAAGAGATCATGGCAGCAGATGCCAGTCTCCACAGAATGCACAGCTGACCTCGATTAGCTCAGGCTTTTTGTCAGAAAGAAGTCCGACTCTTCGTTTAACCTGTGGTTCCGTGTCCTCGCTGAGAAAAGGCGGGCCGCAGCTTCATGTGAACAACTTCCCCCCTTTAGATTCACCTCATATTCAAAACCTTCCCACTTATAATCACATTCTGTCCCCCAGAAGAAGCATCCCCGCCCGTCCTCCCACTCCTGGTCTTTCTCCCCTAACAGTGAACCTGCATCACCCCTGCAGTCCTGGCTCGCAGCCTTGCTCCCCAGGAGGGTCCTCTTCCATCAGAATCAGTGTCGTCTCCCCTCCGTCTCCGAAGCTTCATCCACCCCCTCCACTCAGCTCGTCTGTCATCATAGAGACCAAAGTTGGGTCTAATCAGACCCCACAAGGCGGTCTCCCATCTGCTGGTCTGCTGTCACCGTCTCTGAGCCCCCCTCAGTCTAAAAGCTGCCCACCCACCAACATAGAGACTCAAACCTCGACCCTGGATGACAGAGAGTGGCGAGCATCCTCAGCAGGACCCTCACGTGTTTGCACCACCTCCGCAGGCGCAACTAAGCCCCCCACCTCACAAGGCCGCAGGGGTCGCAAGCCTCCACCATACCCCCATAGCAGACTCTCCGAACCCACAAAGAAAATAAAGGAGCCCTGCAAAGCTCCTCCGTACCCTGAGAAGAGAAGGCTGCAGTCAACCACTGTGTGAGACAACACAGCAGAAGGGGGAGGCCGATTGAACAATCATACAGCACCAGCCACATGTCTGCAGGGGGGGGGGGGGGGTGATTTAATGTGATTTAAGGCTCGCCAAGTTGAGCTGAGCTCAAGTTTCCAAGGTGACAGGATGCAGACGCAACCTGGGGTGAGTAAGTCAAGAATAAGAGCCTGGTTCTGACATTTTCTCTCTCTTTATCTCAAATATCTTGGTCTCATACACCGAACACGCACAAGCTATGAGGCCATCTGTCTGGGTTACAACTCAGGTAACAAGAGCCTTTGTACAGATGCTCAATTTGCACCCATGCTCTCTGACTCCCACAGATCGCACAGTTAAAGGCCAAAGGAGCAGGCATTATTAGGCAGAAACCTGAAGGAACCTGCAATCATTTCTAAATGGCAAGACAAAGAAAGAAGTGATTACTTTATTGCACTTTAGCTCATGCATCCAGACACATCCACTCACATGTATTAGCATTGCCTGCAATTGCTGTCAGAAGTGGTGGTAATGAGAGCGCGGCGCAGCTCGGACCACTTCGGCCCAGCGGTGTGAAAACACATACAGAGGAGGCAAGGTCAGTGATCCGTGGTAGATCTGCAGGCAAGAAAAGCTTTCAGAAAAGGAGAAACTTGGCAAGGCCACAGAAGGATTGAACAGAGTATCATCAGGGGTGTGTGTCACAGGAGACTGGGGGCAGCTGGCCACATGCGGCCCCCCTCTTGGTGTTACAAAAATCCCATCTCCTTCGCTGCCTCTGGCTTGACCGGCCTGGCAACAATCTCCATCTGTTCCCCTCTAAATGTCAGGAGATGCAGCAAAAGAGAGGGAGAGAAAAGGAGCTGGCTTGTTGGAGAGGAAAGAGAGAAATTCAGATAGTGGAACGCCAGCCAGATTGATTACATAAAAACAACTCAACAAATCAATGGCGGTTTCATTTAGGTCATCCAGTGTTGTGTTATCCAAAATGCTACATTAGTTTATGGCAAAGTCTCCTTGAGGCTCTTTTTAAAAAAAAGAAAAGGTTTTTTTTTTATATGTTATGTTATTGTCAACAAGTTTATATAGAACCCAGTTTTAAATGGTTATCATAGATTGATAGTTTATCCCTAAACTAAAGAGAGAGATGCTTTTTTCAGATACAGATTAACGGATGCTCTACAAACATTTCCAGCGCCGAGACGTGAAACTGACTCAAATGAATCAGACGTTTAAAGTCCTTTAAGAGGCTGCTCACAGTAAGCGCACATAAAACATGACTTCTGGTTCCATTAAACCAGAGATAAAGTCACTTATGAGTCTTTTACTTGAGTGTCTGTTAAAAAGCAGTTGTTTTTAGAAAAAGGTAGTAACACAAGCCTGTTAAACACCAGTACGCAGACGTTGAAAACAATTTGGTTTCACATTATAAGTCAGAGTCAGAGATTCTTTATTGTCGTTCGCACCACATGTGGTACATGTGGTGGAGCGAAATTATGTACACAGGGTCCCAGTTACATCCAACAATAAAAGTGTTAAAGAAAAACAATGATAACATCTAAGATATGAACTAAGAAAAACATCAACTAAAAATACACTACGCACTAATAACATAAAAACATTATGTCGAACATCAGCACGAACATGAGTCTGTGTGAGCAGATGAGCACGCATGAACACATCATCATGAAACAGATCAGCAGCAACATTGAAACAGATCAGCAGCAACATGATGTGATTTTTTCACAGTGATTATAGAGATTTGTGAGTCTAACAGCTTCAGGGTAGAAGCTGTTCCTCAGTCTAGTGGTTCTACACTTAATGCTCCTCAACCTCCTTCCTGAGGGGAGCGGGGCAAAAAGTGTGTGTGCTGGGTGAGTGGGGTCCTTCATGATGCAGGTGGCTCTCTTCCTACATCTGGAGGTGTAAATGTCTGTGATGGTGGGGAGACTGACTCCAACAGTCTTCTGTGCAGCTTTCACCACTCTCTGCAAAGCTTTTCTTTCTGCAGCTGTGCAGCCTCCATGCCACATATTGATGCTGGAGCACAGGATGCTCTCCACTGCACACCTGTAGAAGGAGGTGAGGACTGAGCTTCCCTGTCCAGCTCGTCTTAGCCGCCTGAGGAAGTAGAGTCTCTGATGAGCTTTCTTGATCAGGCTGGTGGTGTTGTTGCTCCAGCTGAGATTGTCATTCAGGTGTACACCCAAGTACTTGTAGCTGGAGACCACTTCCACCGCAGATCCTCTTATGTTCAGGGGGTATAGGTGTTTGTTCCTTCTGAAGTCCACAATCATCTCCTTTGTCTTCTTCACATTGATGTGAAGGTTATTCTCTTTGCACCAGCTCTCCAGGTGTTCCACCTCCTGCATGTAGTTGGACTCATCGTTGCTTGTGATGCATCCCACCACCGCTGTATCATCTGCAAACTTTACAATTTGACAGCCTGGAGGGGTAGCTGCACAGTCATACATGAGCAGAGTAAACAGGAACGGGCTCAACACACATCCCTGAGGAGAGCCAGTGCTGAGGGTTATGGTGGAGGAGGAGAAGTTAAGCAAAGATAAGTTACGCAAAATATCTCATGAACTTGTGAATAAATTTTCAGAACATAAATGGATGTGCATTTACAGCTGATTGACTTTTGGAGTCAACCCAATTCAAGATGGCCGCCACAGCCAACTGACCTTAAAAACACAAAATGGTTTTAAGTCAGTTATTTGTACAACTATTCTGCTACAGTTTGTTGTGGTAAAAGCTGTCATTCACAACACATGAGCCAAGCGCTTCTCATTCTGTGACATTTTTGCCTAAACCTATTGCAATAAGTTCAAGTTCAAGGTTCTTTATTGTCATTCGTATCACATGTGGTACAAGAGGTGTTACGAAATTGTGTACTCAACGTCCCATTTACACCCAAAAATAGCAAAAATATGAAGTATAAAAGAAGCAGTACCTAAAGATCTAAGACAGGGGTGTCAAGCCCACATACAAAAGGGGGTCAAAATTAAAACCTTTTTCAAACTAAGGGCTGGTTTCAGAATCTACATTAACTCGATACCAATAATTAAATACCCAACATCTTTTCTTGGTTGCAGCTTCCTCAGCAAAGAGTTTGATTGGTCTCATTTAACATTCTCTGTTCCACTTTTGACATCATTATCAAAGATTGCTGAAAAAAATTAAAGGGATTAAAGTATTTTACATTTAAAAGAATATCTTGGGGGCCAGATAAGATGTCAAAGAGGGCCACATTTGCCCCTGGGCCTTGAGTTTGACACATGTGAGAGCAGAGACGAGTTTGCAGATGTTCTGTGTGAAAGTGATTTTGAAAGCATGCTGTTGTAGCTCAGCCTGCAGCGTGTGTGTGATGGTTTCACAGTGAGGAAGGAGCTGAAGGTAAACATTTCTGTTGGTGTCAGGTGGTAAACAGCAGTGATGTGTGTTCAGGATCTGGATGACAGCTCTGAGCCTCACACACTGAGCAAACTGATGGGCAAACAAAGAACTTTTGTGCTGCAGACTTATAAACTCAACAGAAGAATCAACTTGTAAAAAAAAAAAGTGACAAATCGTTTCCACAAGGCAACAAAACAAGAAATCAGAGCCCAGACTTTATTATCAAGACGCTTTAGTAACAAAGTGTTTGTGCAGTTAAACGATGCTGTAATTGAGCTTCTCCAAACGAGATTTCTTGAGTTGAAATTCAGATTTTCAATCAAAAAGTGCTGCTAAATGGTGGGCTTTCAGCTCTATGTAACTCTTGCATCAAACAAACTGATGCCAGTCTGAGGACAATCTAGATTACGGACTTCCTCTTGGCTTAACGTAACGATGAATAAATCCCTCCTGACTTTATATCTCTGTAAGCCCACAAAGATCAGCACACCATGCATTCCCATATGTGCCTCTGGATTTATTAGATCCTCCCAGCAAAAAGCTTTTTCTCCCCCAGAAATTAAAGGGGAAACAATGAGAGCTTTTTATCTCCTGGAAACATTTATTCGAGGACAATATATGTTAATTGACTACACTTACGGAATACATTTTCAAGCTAATTTTTCATTGCTCTGGTAAAAAGTGTCACGTAACGTCTCAACTGGAAGCTTTGAAGCTGGCTCCTCTTCCTACGTTGCTTTTAAACTAATTCAAATTAGGAATGCATTAGTGTGGCGCTTCGAAAATTGCTGTTATTTTGAATGGATGAGATGGGGCATAAAAATGCAATCCTTCGTATTCACCGAGGCCCGGCTCTCACAGTCGCTCCGAATATTTAAAGCGTCGGCACAGGCAATCAAATTCCTCCCTTCTTTTCATGTTTACTCTCTGACAAGGCGATGGGGAGGTTCAATCAGATCGTGACTGATGTAACCCAACAAAAAAAACACGAGAGTTATCTCCACCGCAGTGACGACGTGTCTTTATTGAAACACCCATCGATATTTCATCATAAATCAGAACATTTAACTAAGAGACAAAATAAAGTGTCTTTTCTTCTTTCCTCTAAGTCAGGTCAGGATCTGGATGTGAGCATGTCCTGTTCTGACCCCTGAGAGAGCCCAGATGGTGACAGAAGTGGACAAACGCTCCTGCTGAGCATCTCCTCAAGTCCAGAGGATCACCACGAGACAAGAGGCACCCAAAAGGTACACGCACACCCAGAGAATCAAATCAGCAAAACCCTGAACTCGATCCTTGGACACTCGTGTTGTTTGAGGTCTAGATCAGTGCCGAGAGGATAAAGCAGCAGTAACATAAGAAAGAAGGGAGAGCGGAGGGGGGAGAACGTGATAATGAAGCACTTCTGAGACCTGTGTGATATTCTCACTGATCCCCACATGCGACAGAGATGAAAGCAACAAGTTGAAGAGAGACTCGTGATTATGTGCTGGCATTTCTTTGCCTTATGTGGCTTTACAAAGAGTAAAGAAATTAGTGTTTAGTTGATTTTATTTTTGTTGCAACGATGCTTCTTGTCAATAAATCGTATACCATTAGAAAGCCCATTTTATTTCCCTTTGATGGTGTCACATTTGTTAAAAAAAACACATTTGTGAGTTGAACAGCAGAGTATGTGGGTTGCACCAGTGGAATAAACTTGCCAAATAATCCTCTCTGTCAACGTGAAACATCTCGTTCAGTTAATGACTCTTGATTTGAGCTTCTGGAACGTCAGTGTGCAACTAGAGGCAATCCCAGATCTCAACTGTCTGGGACAAAACTCTACGCTCCATGTACCGTCGAACCCCACACACTGTTCTTAGAATTGAGAAAGCTCCTTGCATGAGAAGCGAAACGTCTTCTGTTACAGATAAAGTTCAGTTTTTGTCTTGAACTTTTTTGAATTTACCATGTCCTGGCTGACTGAGAATCTTCACCAGCATCTACCCTCCAAGATCACAACGCTCACCCCCACACACACCGGTTTTTATCAGACTATCACCAGAATTTGGGGTTGGAGAGTATGAAATGGCCTGTTTTCAGTCAAAGACTCAACCCCATTAAATACCTGTGGGATCAGCTTGGGCATGCTGTTCACTCCAGTGACCAACACAACCACACTGGCCAACTTACACCAAACGCTAGCCGAACAATGGGATACCATTAAAGACCAGTAAAGGCTCCCACAACCTTGTGTACTCCGTGAGCCATGCAGACACTGCACAGATGGTTGAGACTACATACTCGAGCATACACCCTGATGGGCTGCAGTCAGCTCCGCAGGCAAGGGGCGTTTACCTTCAGGATAAATTGAGGTTGCCGATTGGTCATTTGCTGACACGCCTACTGGACTGATTGACAGGTTGCAGCCCAGGAGCAGCAGCAGCGGTGTTCTGTGTTTGTGTTGATAAAAAGTTCTAAAACAAAACAAAAGGGAAAAAAAAACAGGGAGCGCTGGTCCTGCAGCCCACACTTAAGACTAACCCACCAGGAAATTTCCAGACCCTCCCGCAGCCACGCTGGGCCTGATTTTTATTCTCTCATGACAAATTCCCTCATTTCTCACAATCTCCGTTGTGGCATTAATGGATGAGGAGGAAGAGATCGCTTGCCTCTTGGCAAAAAACAAAAGAAAAGAAAAGGAAGAAAAGGTCATTAAACCAGACCAGGAATGAAGAAGGGGAATTTAATACATTGGTGTCGCATAAAAAAACAGTCCGTCGCCGGGCAGTTGATTGTGTGACACCAAGTATGCGTAAGTAAAAATTTATTATTTGCGCAGACATGGCTTGTGGGCATCTGCTTCGAGTCCGCAATGAGTCTAATCTGGTACACGCGGACCTCCATGGAGTTAAGTACGCCCGAGTATGTGGAAGCATTTAGTGCCCAAGCTGGTGAGCAGCATGAGGTGGTACCAATCTGTAGTGGCTGTGTATGGTTCTTCTACATGCTACTAGGATAAAGGTCCCTGTTTGAAGAAACAATGTTTGTGTTCATTTGACCAATAAATGACATCAAACATGAGGCAGTAGCAGAA